CTTGGGTCAACACCCCCGAGGAGAACCTGAGCCCCGAGGTCCCCAGCTCCCATGATCTCTAGAGGGACAGCGTGACCCCCTCCCTTGTCACTGCAGTCTCCTAGGGCCATGTCTGTCCTGCTGGGGGGCTGGGGGCTGTAGGGGATGGAGGTGACATGCATGGAGGTGGGCACCAGGAGGGGATGACCCCCATCCTGGCCTGTGCCAGGGGGTGCAGGGCTTACTGTGTGACACGGCCAGGACCTGTGGCACAGGAGACTGCAGCTCGGCGTGGCCGTGTGTACACCACACTGCCACCATGGTACAGGCAGTGTTAGCCCCATGTCCCCTGGAATGGCAGTGCCAGCCCCACAGGCCAGGACAGTGCCAGCCCCCAGTTTCCCTCCTAGCAATGCCAGCCCCATATCCCAAGTCAATGCCAGCCCCACATGCCAGGACACCACCCAGAGGACTGAGGGGCAGAATGCCCAGGCCCCACAGCTCAGCCGGCACGAGGCGTCGCACCGGGGCAGGGCTGGCTTCATTCAGACCTAGGAGAAATAGAGAGAAATAAGCAGATTAGGGGGCAAATCCCACGGGAGGGGATTAGAGGGAGCGGGGGGGCTCTTGCTTTGCCATGAGGAGCTCTGGGAGAACCCCCAGTGTCCCCAGTGCTCCCAGCAGCACCCAGTCCTCCCAGTACAATGCCAGGCGCAGCACTGTGCTGTCTCTATCTGGGTAGTGAGCGAATTCAGGCCTGGATTGGGATCTAGGGGGGGAAAAAATGCCTCTTTGCTTGAATTTTTCCCAAACGTGGCCCCACGAGCCAGTGGCTGCAGATGGTGCAGGGCGTGCTACGCTGGGCCTCAACCAGGAAAGGACCAATAAAGAGGGAAGGGCAGGCAGCTCGGTGCCCCTGTGGCTTTCCTGCATTAAAATGGCGTGGTTTTGGGGCCAGAAATGTTGCCTGTTTCTGCAGTAAGCACAGCAGCGGGGCACCCATGGGAGGGAAGGGGCAGCCACCCCCTACTGTAAGGATACCCATATATCCCCCGCCAGTGCTGCCCCATGCAAATTAGCTCATTTAAATAAATCACATAGCCCCTCCATACCAGGGAGGCGCATCCTCAGCCCGGGGCCTCTCTTCTTTTGGGTGGCGGTTGTAAGATTGCAGGGGGAGGGAGCACCCTGGCCCCAATTAGGCTCCGATCAAACGGGTCGGGGGGTGCCGAGCCCCCCGCTCTCTGCGCCAGCCGGCTTTTGTTGGCGCTCGGGAGGCCGAGGGGTGCCCCGGGCTGGCGCCAGCCTCGGCAATTATGTCATGTGAAAAGCGCAGCCCCCATTGAGTGCGTCCCTTCCCCCGGATCAAACCCCATTACTTCCGCGGCCGTTGCTTCATTATCTGCCCGCC